ACGCAAATACTTCTTTCAGAAGTTTCCATTACAGTGTACTCAATTTCAGCTCCTTCCCTAACAGGTTAACATAGAAGGCATAAAGGAAAAGACTGCCTCACACTGTACAACTCCTTCCTCACCATCCAGTCCCAGCCAGTGCAGCTGGAAGGCCCACCTCAGCTCTGGTGGTGGATGTGTACTGTTAAGTTGGTTCCAACTCATAGGGTTTCCAAGGCTATAAATCTTTACAGGAGCAGAAAGCCTCATCTTTCTTCCAAGAAGTGGCTGGTAGATTCGACCATATGTATGGTCAGCAGCCCTACTTGTAACCCAATACCCTATTCTAGGCAGAAATAATTTAAGGAGCCCCAAACCAATGTTCCCTGCATCACACAGTCTGCTAGTCCACTCTAAACCAGCACATTTTAGTTCTGAAAACAAAGCGACTGCTGTATTCTTAGTCTCCAAAACCCAGTCTCCACGGTCCACTCCTGCTCTGTGAGTCATCTGTATCTTATTCAGGCTACATGAGTACCTATCCTGGTATCCTGCCCAGAATCTTATCCCTCCAGGAGTGGAAACACACCTTGCTTTGGTTCTGTGCCAAAGGAGAATAAAATCATTCTATTTAAGTTCAAGTTTCCTTGATGTAAAGCCACAAAGCAGAGCAATAAAGAGCTGGGCTTTGCAGTCAGACATAGCAGGCATTCCAGGCAAACCCAGCTCTACCACTTTCTAGTTATGTGACTTTAGCTGTGTGAATTCATCTCAATGAGACTCAGTTTTCATTTGCACTTATCATACCCTTTAAATGAGAGAATATACAGCACAGTGTAAGACCTGATTATAGGAGCCCTGGTTGTGCTGTAGGATCATCACTGGACTGCTAACCTCAAGGCCAGCAGTTCAAACCCTCCAGAAGGATGAGAAAGACAGCCTGGGAAACCTTATACAGGGGTCGCTGCAAGTTGGAATCTACTCAATGGCAGTAAGAGTTTTTGAGAGGAGATGAATAATTGTTAGCATTATGGATATTAATTACTGTGATAATAAATCTGATAACACCAACAACAAAACAAAAAACAAGTGGCACTGAAATAGACAAATATATTGCTTATTCCACCATTCTAATTTGCTATATTCTAGTGCTATGGGTTAATGCGCTGGACTGCAAGGTCAGTTTGAACCACAAATCGGAAGTTCAAGCTCACCAGCTTGGAAACCAAATACAGGGTCGCTATGAGTCGGAACCAACTCAATGGCACACAACAACAGCCTGCTTGGAATAAAAGATTATCACTAACACACTATACTCAAATCAAGGTTATTTTTTATGCCTATTCTACATCAGTGGCAGTCTGAACTCTGGGCTCAGCCTGTCCGGTTGCCCTGTATCACTAGATCCTCCTCATCCTGTCCTGTAACAATTAATTGAGCCAGGTATCACCATGCCTCAGAAAAAGATAACTGTAGTATTTAGGTGTTTGGAGAACAAAGAAAAGAAGCCTGGGGGAGTCAAAGATAACTAACTATGATTTTGCTTTAGTCAAAGGCATTTTTGAAATCACTGGATAGGGAGAGGGGAGTTACTACCACTTATCTGCAAGTACCATCATGAATAAACACAGAGCTCCCATTGGAAACAGAGCAATATGCTTGCAACACTTCCTAACTAGTGCTCCAGTTACTGACATGGACTCCAAGTTATAGAAGAAAAGTAAGGGAGAGACTAACAAGACAAACATATATACTTCTTATATGCCAAAAAGTAAAACCAGGGACCATGAAAAAGTACATTTTATTTATGTTAACCTATTCAGCAATTTGCTTTTGAGTTACACAACAACAACACACACTCAAGTTGTAAAGGACACAGTCTAACGATCAATTCATGGTGCTTGATGTTTTAACCATCAATAAGAAGCTTAACTGTTGAACTAAAAACCTCGGTTTTATCCTATACAAATGAAGTAACTTCTTATCTACTTTTTCTATGTATTAGATTAACATACAAACTGGATTCTGAGGTTTTGTTGCTAGTGCCTTTTAATCACAGTACAGCAAATAGGTAGATTTTAAATATCATACTATTGTAAAAGATCTACTTCTTATCTTCCTTCACCTAAAATTTTAGAGCTAGGTTTTAGAACACCAAATGATTTAGAACACCAAAGATCAACTGGAGGGATACAATGATTAGTCAGACAAATCCAACCCATTCTTTCAAATAATAATAAAATAACTAGATGTGGAGAGATGGAGCAGTTGGGGACTTTAGACACAGAGAAGGAGAGGGGCTGTATGCTGATGACCGGGGGGCAGGCTTGTAGTGTATACCCTTTGGTTGGTTGATGATGCATGGAGGGGATTGTAACCATAGCAATGAAACGATATACAATAGGATGAAT